CTCTCTCTCTCTCTCCCTCTCTCTCTCTCTCTCTCTCTCTCGTCTGAGTCCATGCTGAGGAATCAAATCTGGTGGGATTAATTCTTCATATTTTCTGAGCGCAGTTTAGTTTTCCAGCGAAGTAATCGGTTGTCTAAAAGTGCTCCACAGGAGACCATTAATTTCTTGTTATTCCAGCTAATTCACCTTCTCTCCTTAATGTGCTGACTTGATGCAGGAAGGGACCCCCCTAGTTGGTTTCCTACGTGACCCCCTAATGCACCAAAGTAAGTTGAAATTCTCCAGGCTGAATTTGAATGTTTAAAAAAAATCTATGGAGGATTTGCTTTCTTTAAACTCTTGATTTAATTTCTCTTTCTGTTTAAATGTCTAAAAGGACAGGCATGTCTCTAGATAGGAGGTGCAATCTGCAGTCGCTCCTGAACCCTCTTCTGCTTTTACATCCCCCCCCCTTGCTGATACAAACCAGAAGCTGAGCCAGATAACCCCTTTCCTGAGATTAGAGGCAGACAGGCTGTCTCCTGCTTTTCTGCCCACCCCCCACCCACCCCCCTTAAGGGAATCAGACCTTTTGTTTAAGATTCCTTGGCTGGGGAGGAATTGATCTGATTGACCTTTAAAAAAAACCACCTTTAACTTGTCCCTGAAAGCCAGGCTTCCCTATCTTCGGAGAGGCTGGCTGGTGCTGCACCCTCTTCCTCCTCGCTGCCCAGAGAAGTGGCAGTAGCTCAGGCCCTCCAGGCCCCTGCCCACTCCTTGACCGCAATGGGTCTGGTGACCAGTGAAGGGGGGGCGGCCTTTCTGTGGCCGGGCACTCAGGGAGCCTAGGCCGAGGCCTGGAGGCGGCTGAGGGCCAGTCAGGCGCTGGGCCCGGCTCACTGATTGGACAGACCTCCTTTGAAGGGTAACCTGAGCAGGATCAGAAAGGAGGGTTTTCCTGTCCTTGAGCAGCAATTTTGGTGGGAGTTTCTCCAGGCTTTGATCAAAGGAGGAGGAGGAGGAGGAGGGAGCAGAGCGGGTGGGATGGGGCTCCTGACGTTCGGCCCAGACTCCTTCCCGGAGGAGGCTGCCACGGCTGCTGCTGAGGGAGGGGGGGGCGGGGCGGAGGGGCCCTGGCGTGTGGGGGCCAGAGGCGTGCCCTCTGCAGCACAGGCAGGCAGGGAGGCTCTGGGGCACTTTTCTCCTCCTCTCCCCCCCCACCCGAGAAGCAGGATGGTTTTTCTTCTCTGCAGCTTTTCCACAGAGGCCAGGAAAGATCCGCCTGCCTCTGGTCTCTCCTCCTGCCATTCCAGACCCCAGAGAAGGGGGGGAGGAGGAACACCTTGCGTCCGCCTGGCCCTTATTTCGAGATGGGCAGCAGGTGAGCCGGTGAGGCCTTGGGGTTCCCCCCAGCCTGGATGTGCCTTGAGGCCGTTTCTGTGGAGTCTGAGATCCCCGGAGCCTCCTGGGCTGAAAGCGGGGGGGGGGGGGGTAGAGGGGCTTGTTAAAATCTGAAGGGGAAATTATTTCTAGTGTGGCAAATAAATTGGGATCAGATTAACTTAACTATTTTAATTGCATTTGCGCATGGGGTTGACATCGGGACTACTTCTTAAGTAACACTGAAAATCTTTATTTGAAAGTTATGTTGTATTATTGCATATTTTAATACATGTTTTCAGATACTTCCTAACTAGACATGACAAACTGGGGGCGTGTAAAGATGACCAATCTGGAACATGAAACATCCGTTCTTTTAATACCATGACCTGATAAAATCCCCGGGTGATGCTGAGAGGAGAAGCCGAAAGTGACTAATTAGTAGCATCCAACGATAGGCACAAATCACAGAAAGGGAAACGGAGGCACCTGCCCAGAACCGAAATCCCTGTGACCATCTAGTGGTGGCTAAAGATTAGCAGCATAGCAGCCTTTGAGATGCGTGATTCTCAACCAGCAACCTTTCAGGCGTGTGGACTGCAGCTCCCAGTCTTCCCTGCTGGCTGGGGAGTTGCAGGGGCCGAAGTCCACAGATCCTAAGACCCCCGAGGTCGAGAGACGCAGAGAGAGGAGAGGAAGAGGCCCCCGGTCGTCTTGTGGGGTGCCCTCCTCTGTGCGGACCAGGCTGCTGGAAGGCGTCCGTCTGTCTCTCTTTCCATAGAGGGGAACTGCTTTTCTCCCTTTGCTTTTCTTCCTCACCGGCTCCAGGTCGGCTCGGCCCCTTCCGTCCTGCCTGCCTGCCTGCCTGGGTGGGTTTGGGTAAAACGAGGGAGCCAGATTGTTGGGGGCCAGTAGGCTGACTCTGTAAACCGCTCAGAGAGGTTGCTGCAAAGCCCAGTGAAGGGGGCTATCCTTGGGGGTCTTTTCAGCATCCTGTTGCCGTTCAAAGGCAGCTTCTCTTGGGCCAACGAAAGGGAAGCCCCCCAAAAGGGAGGGCCCCTCAAAGGGAGCCCCCTGGATCTCCACTCTGCACCCAGGGGGGGCCCCCGCAGGAAGAGCCGCCTCTCCTGTCCGCCTCCCCGGCCGCCTCTTTTGCCCTGACCCCCAACGCTGATTCAGGGGCAAAGTCGGGAGACGCCGCCTTGGGTCGCGAAGTGCAGGCAACAGAGGCCGTGTGTTCTGCGCTGCTTTGGACGTCTAGCAAGTTATCGGGTACATAGAAAAACCGGTTACTTACACGATTAAATGTAATTTTTACCATTCATTCATTTTAGGTTAATAACATTGGGAAACTCAAAGACTTTCTTCTGCAGCACAGGAAAGATTACATTAATGCTTATAGGTAAGAGTCATGATTGAAAAAGTGAAAATGGACAATTGTGACAAAAATATGTATGAATAAATGCTCACATGCCAGTTTCGCAGTCTGACGCTGAATTTAATGGCATGGTAGGAAACTTAATTATCCTCGGAGCAGGAAAAAGAAAGTTCACAGGCTGTAAACTGGGGGGGGCTGTTCTGAAGGGCTGAATCCCAGCGGATGCTTGGGTGCATTTTAATATGCCAGAAGGTCACTGCCCCCATTTCTGTGTGAGGCTTCAGAAATAGTGATAAAGGCATCAGGATGCAGGGGGGGGGGGTTTGAGGGGGGAATATAACAAATTGGAGTCCCTGGTTGTCTCTTCATTGTTGTAGTTGTGTGGGCCTATAAAGTACATAAACACACACGCCAGTAGCTTATGTGAATCCTGCTAATTCTAATTATTTTAATAGGCCCTTATTGTGTCAGGCAAGAAAATGTGGTGACATGTGGAAAGGAGCAGAAATGTGAGAATTCATTTAGAGTAAGGAATTTTAGCTGCAACCCCTCTCTTCTTCCATTCCCTCAAATGACCCCATGACTGAGGAAAAGGCTTCTTCTTTGAGTTGGATGTTATATAGTTACACAATACAGTTGACCTATTGGCTGTCTTTTCCAGCCATCTCATGTCTGAGTATGTGCGAATGTCCGACACTGACCGAGATCAGATTGACCAAGATGCCCAAATCTTCATGAGAACGTGTGCGGATGCAATTCAGCAGCTCAGAGCAGAAGGTAATTTGAGCGACGTGTGTGGATTTAGCCAGATGGGTGGAGAGTTCTTTTGAGGAAAATAATATTCTGTATTGTTTCATTTCAGCACACAAGGACATCCATTCCCCACAAGTGAAGCAGCACCGAGAAACGGTCTTGGATTTCATTGCAGACTATTTAAAAAGTAGCAGTTTTTCTCAAAACAATACTTGTGTTTATGTGTTTTGCAAAATTAGTTTCTGCTGTTGCGACCAAATAAGTAGGATCATTTTCAGAAATTCTTTTCCATATGTAGGCCAATTGAAAAGCAAGTTTTCCAGTGAGAAAGGAGGAGTCTGTGCCAGGAGCCTGAAGGCAGTGGCCCAACTCAGCCTGAGGGGATGTAGTTTCTGTGGACAGTGGGCTGGTGGGGACTTAGTGATATGAAACTGAGTAGTCATTAAACAAACAAACAAAAAAGCCTTTTAACTGCTTGGAAAGAGGCAAAGCATTCTTAATAAGTCCACTGATGGTAGTGAGCTAATGAAAAAAAACATGACAATATTTTAAACAGCAGAAAACATTTCATTTCATTAGCATCCATTTTTAGTAATGTCTCCATTTTTTTTTCTAGTGCCGAAACAATTTTCTTCCTCCTAAATCTTGAAGTCGTATCTGTGTAGTCACTAGGAGTTGAAAGTGGCTTGGTGCCACATGATCATTCAATTCCTGAAATAATTCATCTTCTTTTCTCCAAATAAATAAAAAAATGACATATAGCTAATAACAGAGTCACATAGTTCATTTTCCATAACGCTGGAGTAGCAATTTTCTTGCTGCTATTAAAATTGAAAAATAAATTTGATACCCATTTGTTGGCCAGGCCTTTTTAAAGCAATTTAAAACTATTTGATTAATTTTAGAAGTAGAGTAAGACAACGCAGTTTTTAAAGTGCTCAGTGTGTTTCCTATTTGTATATTATTGCAGTAACTCTTATTTAACAAGGTAAGCAGTATCCCAATATTCAAAATGTTGTCAGCCAGAAATACCTATGCAATTTATTTTTACTTCAAAGGTTTAGCCACTCCATCATTCCAAATATATTTGGAAAAGATAGTAAATTTTAAGTTTAAATGGAGATTTTTGTAACATAGATATGTAAATGATTAGATCTGGGAGGTTTTACTGTGGTTATGCTTAAAATGAGAAATAGAAAAGAATAATTCAAATGATCAAATTGCGGTCATCTTTTTCTACAGAGGAAGTTGGTTTATTATATTATAGCATATATTTCCCCTGGGGTTACGTGGCTCTGCTCTCTTTCTTTCGCAGGGGTGTGCAGGCTGTACTCGGAACAAAGAGCGATACGGGTCAAGCGCGTGGTGGATAAAAAGAGACTGTAAGCAAGGATTGTTTTCCTGTATTGGGAGCTCTTGGCCCATTTCTGTGCAAACTTCTTGGTCTTTCAGAAAAAAACATTTCATTGGTTTCAAGTATTGGTTCTGAGGTTCTTTGTAATATCACGTAAAACCTAACAAGCAAGCATTGTAAGGGTTTCTTTTTAAATTTCCCCGGAATTTTATATAGATTTTTCCCCCTCTTTGCTTTCCTATTTTTCTTTTTGCAGAGTGATACGTATAATTTAAGCCTCTCATTTTATTTTAGCTGAATTCAGTGGGATTTCCCTTTTTTTTGGGGGGGGGGGAGCAGTTACACTTAAGTTCGTTATACAGTGTTGCTATATCAGCACTGAAGGTAACTGTCCTAAGGATACAAGGCACCAGGGTCCGTTCCTGGGGCTGTCAGCATAATTACCTCATGCAGCATAATTAACCAGAGGGAATAATAAGCAGGCCGCGCAGGTGGGCGTGGATTATGCAATCGGGAGAACTGAGTGAATCACCCTGACTACTCCTGCCCCAGTCGGGCACATTGCCCCAGGAGGGAAAGAGAGAAGAGACTGCTCCACCCGCTCAAGACATAAATGAATTTCCGTATCCTGCCCAGAATGTGAACCTCCCAAAGCTGCTTTTCCTAGGAGCGGGTGGGGGGTGGGGTGGGGTGGGTGAAAGGGGGGGGCTGCTGGGGGCTGCAGTTGCACAGTGCTGGAGAGGGCTACAGGTTTTCCATTTCTAAAGTAATATTGAACATATTTAAACTTCTGTGTGGCAATAAATAACCAACTAATATCTGAATCTTCTATAAATTGTTTATTTTGAATTAATCTTCCTTCCTTTCATTTTTGCAAAAATACCAATTAAGTTGGGAAATCAGTCACTTTTTATGTCGTATGGAAGATGTTGAGGAATTGTTGACTTATTTCAGTTAATCAGACACCCCCACCCCTGCTCCGTTGTTGCTGATCAGGTTCAGGACAAGGAGCCTATTGTGGTTCTAATCCACCCACCACTGAAGTGGCCTCTGTGTAATGCAGACATGGCTTAAATCTGTAAAAGGGGAGAGCATAAGTAACATAGGAAGGATTAAAATAAAAGGATAATTCAGGGTAATGAGGCCATTACAAGGACCAGCTGACCACAAAACTGTCTGGGAGACGGGGGGGGGGGGGCTCCTCCTGTCCCTGAAAAGACCACCCCAAGGAGGGAAGGTTGACTTCCTTGGGAGGACCCCCCCCCATCCCCAGGGCTTTCACGGAAGAAGCCCTTCCCCACATAGGACGCCTGAAAAGGGAAGCCCCAGGAGAAGAGCAGCTCTCCCTCCCTCCCTCCCTGCCTGTTTCCCTCCTCTCTCTTTTTTTTGCAGCAGCTGCCATTACATGGAGCAGAGAAATAAAGCCAGCAAAGTGATTTTTTTCCTGCCCTGTCTAATAACACATTTATTGCTAGCCTAAATTAGAAAAGCTTTCTGTAGAGCAACTGTTAAGTGCAGAGATGATTGCACGTCGAAATCCGGAATCCTGGGAATCCACCCTCTGATTTTAAATGCAATACTTGGTTTCTCTTGGATCTTCCATCCTCAGGTGCATGCCGTGCTCCTTGGGGGCAAAATCAGCCGTGTGCTGAGCTCAGCCCCCTGGCAGCAGGACCGGAGAGGAGGAGGAGTCCTCCTCCTTCCCAGATGTATTTCAGCTCCTCGGTCCGGTGTTGCTTGGTAGCCCCCAGTCCCAAAGCTGACCTGTCCTGACTGAGTTTAGCTTTGACATCCAGAATTATTCCACCCAAGACAGCCTTAGAACTGCTGTTAATGACTTGGCTCATTGCGTATTACAGTATTTAGGCAGAAGAGAGAAAGAGTGGAGATGGTCCACTCATCCGTTTCTTTTATCATATGCCTTTTGTTTCAATTATTGTGGAAGTTTGAATCAAGTTCAGAAATTACATGTGGCAGTATTTGATTGCTTCCCAAGAGGCCCTCTGCCACTTTGGGGTGGGGGGGTGGGAGGGAGGGCTGATTGTTGGATTGCACAAACTGCTGCTGGGACAGTGATAAGCAGGGTGTGCGCACTGCGTGTGTGTTTGTGGGGGGGGAGCATAAGAGTATCTTGGGTCTCGGGGAAAGAGCAAAGAGAAAGAAGGGCCTTGAGAGGCGCCCCCCCCATAAACCCTTCACCAACAGCAGCATACTTTCCAGGTTGATGGGTGGGGGAGAACTATGATGATGATGATGATGATGATGCAGCAGCGCTCGGTTTATCTTTAACGCTTCGTTCCTTTAGATCCAGGCTGGAGCCGGAGCAAAGCCGTAAGTCAGCTCCAGCTGCTTCTGCCGGGAAAGCGCCTGAGAGGGAGGCGTCTTCTGAAGAGCCGGGAGAGAAACCCGCCAGGGAAGCCCACCGAGGTGGGGCAACCCATTCCTGCCTGTAACATCCACGCTTTAAATGTTGTATAATGTTGAGGCTCATAAGGCTTCCGGTTGGGTAATTTCCTCTTTATTCATTCAGGAAAAATAGTTTTCAGTTATTTATTGGGGTGCTGCACTGACTGGGTGCTGCTTGAAAGCGAAGTGGCCCATTTCGGAGGGTTCAGAAGCGGCCCAGGGCCAGTGCTGGCTTCCTCCTCACCCCTTCAGGCTGTTTTCTGGGGGGGGGGGCTTGCCGTTTCTTCCTTCCCAGGGCAGAGAGGGAGGGGCTGGCCCAAGGGCACCCGGCTGGCTTTGTGCCTAAGAACGGAGCACAGGTAGTCCTTGTGTAGTCCCGTCACAGTTGGGACCACAATTCCTAAGTACCGTGTTGCTTTTTGCTTCACTTCAGATTGAGTTGCTCTAGCACGTTTGGACTGCCTTTGTGTTGATGATAGTTTTGTGTGGCTTCTTTTGCAGAGAGAAACCTAATTGATGAGCACTCTGACTTTGGACTTGGTCAAGACAGCAGAGGAGAAGACGAGCTTTCCCCTGAAGAAATCCAAATGGTAGTTAATCTTTTCCTCTTGAGCAGGAAGCTCTGAAGCCTCTGCCAGGGAAACTGTGGCAAAGACTTTCTGAAATGGCCGCCTCTTGTCAGGCACCTTCCCTGGCCGGGCAGTCTGGGAGACCTCCGAGGCCCCACTGCTGGCGGATCAGTGCATGCTGTGCCCTCCCTCCCTCCCTCCAACCGGAGGAGCCAGGGGGGGGGGTTGGAGGAGGCCAAAGGGGACAACCCAGGAGAGGGGGAGAGAGAGAGAGATTGGGGGGGAGGTTGATGGACTGCAGATCGTCCCCTCAGAGTTAGGTGGCTGCCCAGGGTGTCTGGATTGGGGCACTGCTGGCCTCGTGGAAGAGCTCAAAGGGTAACGCTCCCTGAGCAAGCAAACAGGGCAGGTGGGGGTGTCTCCCCCCTCCCTCTCACTCTAGGCTAGCACTCATTCAGAAGAATGGCAAATGGGGCAGAGAGAGTGGAAGCTTGTCTAGGAGAAGTTGGCATGGGCAACGTGGGCCGGAGGAGAAGCAACGCAGATGGCCCAGAGTGGACCTGGTGCAAGGGGAGGCTTGTGTAGAGGAAGGGGAGGGACTGGGCTGAGCAAAGTGGCAGTGGAGGTGTTGACCCACAACATGCGGGGAAGAGAAAGTCTCAGTGGGGAGGCTGGCAGGGAAGGGTGCAAGTAGACGACACCTGCCAAGAAGACTCCCTCTCTTCTCTGGGGACCGGCTGAAAGAGCGGCCTGCTGCGGCAGTTGAGCTCCTTTGGCAGGGTGGAGGAATGGAGTTCCGATCCTGAAGATTTGAGCTCCCTTCCTGCACATCACCGAAGGAGCTGCCATCCTCCCATGGTGGGCAGAGATGAAGCTTAAATCCTGATGAGTTAAGCTCCGTTTCTGCAACCTGCCAAAGGAGTTCCCTTCTCTGCACAGAGAAGAGCTGACATCCCTCTGGCAGGCAGCTCTTTTCAGCCATCCCCGGCTGGGCCTGGAAAAGTCAAGCAGAATTTTTAGCTCCTGAGCAGCAGGCAGGAAGGTGAGGAGCACACAGGCCCAGCGCAGGGGGCGGGGGCTGAAAATCCCCCTTCGGTTTTGGCAGGGAGGGTCTTCAGCTCCTGGGTAGGGCTTCCTGAGGCCCCTCGCCCGCCAGTCAGTCTGCCCTCTGCTCACACGCTGGGCCCGGCCCCTCCCCCCAGGGCGCTCACCCACCGCCTCCCCAGCGGCCGGGTATTCAGGAAAGTCTCCAGAATTGTAGCCAAATTTTCTCAGCAGGAATTTGGAGACCTGATAGGGGTTTTTAGGTGTAGTTTGCATGGACGTCGTGACCAGGCTGCCGTGTCATTTTTTTTTTTAACTTTTATTTGTTTGGTCTGTGACTACATATTTGGTCTGTGACACACAACTGTTTTGCAAATCTTTTCAGAGAACTTTCTGCTGCATTAGTAGTTTTACCATGAATGTAGAAATAATTCTCATTCCTCCTCCCCCATCACCCTCCCCCCCCCCATAACTCAGTTAAAGAATACTTGCTCAGACATTGGGGAGGGGGGAAAGAATGCACATTTTTAATCTTAGAAGAAGGCAGACAGAGATGAAAAGTGTTGGAGAGGAGAGCCCTGAATTCAGGTTTCTCTTGAACGATTCTTAGCTCCTCCTGTCTTCTCCGGGACCTTCCTTGCATGATGCCGGCAGGGATAGCCAGGCTGAATTCCCGGAAAGACAGTTTCACTGCAACTTACTTTTTCACATAGATGGTCCATTGGAACTAAGCTTTCAATTGCAGTAATCCTTGCCTTTCTCCGCCCAGTTTGAGCAGGAAAACCAGCGCCTTGTGGGTGAAATGAACAGCCTGTTTGATGAAGTGAGGTACATTTTTTTTCCTTCTGTTTGCTTTTTTCACATTTTGATCAAGGTTCTCAGCCCGTATATCCCTTGCTTGAGGCGAGGTCGCAGGGGCAGCACGGCAGGGATTGGGGCCCATCCTGATTGTGTGTCCGGAGTTTGGCCTCCCAGCAGGGCTGATACTTTCTATTAATTCTGTGCTCTTGTTTGTTCAGCATAATTGTTGAGCCTTCTTAACACTTCCCAACTCTAACAGGGCCTCTCTGTGACTAATGCTGTTTTATAGTGCACAGATAATAAGTGTCCAATTTTTATGTCTAGCGGTCTGCATTTTTTACACACTTAGAATCTACACCTAATTACAGAAATTGTATTTTTCCAAAGTTACTATAAACAACTGATCTTCTTTGTGTTAAGAGTAGCTTATTGAAAATCTGCTTCATCCAATAAATGCTTCACTATCTTAGGAATGTAAGATATTCTATATACTTCATTCTATAAAAATTGGAAATGTTTATTCTTAATTGTGTTTGTATGTAATACAACAAAGCCTTTTTTGTTTTCCTTTGGTATATTTTTTATCATTTTTAGGCAGATTGAAGGGAAAGTAGTTGAAATATCTAGACTTCAAGAAATATTTACAGAAAAAGTATTACAACAGGTAAGAATCTCATATTTGACTCTTTCACTAAAGCATTTTGAGCTCTGTAAAAAAATTCATGGCACCTTGCAGGGCAGAATTATCACTGATGATGGAGCAAAATACGAATTAATAGAGTGGGGATCATGAGAACAGTTACCAAAAGAGTTTGTGTAACACGAATTTGCTGCAGAAATATGCTCCAAGGGAGAACATTATGGGGAATGAACAAGTACACTGGGGCTGTGAAGGTGCCGCTGAGTTCCCAGATATTCTTTCAATTCCCAGTGTAGCCTATAGCCTTGGGATTTCCTTGTGGTCTCTCATCCAACTCCTGTCCAAAAGTCAGTCGTGTTTACCTTTTTCCAGAAGGATTCAGCCAAGGTGATCTAGCTGCTGCCATTTGCTGAGAGTCACCACATATGTGTTAACTTAATTTCTAGGAAGCTGAAATTGACAACATTCACCAGATAGTTGTGGGTGCAACGGAGAACATCAAGGAAGGCAACGAAGACATAAGAGAGGTAATTTTGGCCAAGGCTTCCTTGATTTTTATTAAAGTCTTCTTGACTGGCCCATGGCAAGTTGTACTCCAGTAGCCTGGCTCTGCTGCATTTTGAAGGAATACAGTCTTGTTTCTTGTACCTCTTCAGTGCTGTGTGAAGATGTGCACTTTTATTCATTCATTCATTCATTCATTTGAAAGAGTTACGTAGCCGCCCATCTTATAACCAACTCTGGGCAGCTCAGTCTGTGGAAGTGGCGCCCTGTTCAAAACCGACCGTGGGTAATATTCTAGCTGTGGACCAACCACCTTCCTTAAGGAGGACAGATTGGAGGCTGGACGAAAGCTCTCTCTGATGCTGCGGGGTCCAAGGATCGATCGCCTCTTGAGAAGGGGGGAGGGGGACACACCACCACCTCCAATCAGCTGGGTCTAAAGGTGTGGCTCTCCCTCGCCTCCCCCAGTGCAGGCTGAGACCCTCTGCTCCAGAGACACTTTGCAAGCAAGGACTGATGGACAACTGCTAAAAAGTTGTTCTTTGTTTTACACAAAGATGTGTAAAATCTTTGTTCTTAGTTCAGCTCTTCGGCTAAACAAGTGGCATAAAATAAAATAAAATAAAATAAAGGGGGGGGAAGGGCATACATTAAAGATGTTCGTGAACATGTCAGTCATAACTTGATTGGCCTTTTCCCTCAGTGTTCTGCTCTTAGAGGCTGCCATGTGGAACAAAAAATCTGAAGACAAAAACTATGTTGGAAAACATTTTTGCATATTCCTGAATTGCCCACTGCAATTCACATCTTTTAAAACGACGTTTTTGCTCTCCACAGGCAATCAAGAATAATGCTGGATTCCGAGTGTGGATCCTCTTCTTCCTGGTCATGTGCTCCTTCTCCCTCCTGTTCCTGGACTGGTACGGAAGCTGATCCTGGACAGCAGGACCTGCAGGACCCCCACCCCACCCCCACCCCCACCCCCCCAGTGAGGTTTTCCCCCACCAGGTGACCCCATGTTTCACCCACCACATGGTGGTTGTAGAAATATGTATATATTGTATGTGTGTGTGTGTGTGTGTGTATGTATGTATGTATGTGTATACACACACACAAATGTAAATTCTAGGATATGTAAATTCTAATACTCAGGAATATCTCAGAATATCTCATCTGGAGCTTTAGGTAGCAGAAGGAAACTGGATGGCTGCCAGGAAATGCTGAATAAAAGTGTTGACGTGGACACGACTGCAGCAGAGAGAAGTCTCCAGACGTTTGTTCTGTGATAAAATGCAAAGCAACTGCTTTCCCTTGGGGGCAGGGCGAGGGGGGCAACATTTTCTGGCATGGGGGAGGCCACTGGTCTTCCCTACTGGCTGAAGTAGGGGGAGGGGGGGTCAGAAAAGGTCCCCTCACAGAGAGGGGCTTCAGCTCGGCACAGGGGCTACTTGGTGCTTTCCAGAAACTCTGCGCTCTCTTCCCTCATTTTCTCCCCCCCCCAGTTGCCCTCTTCAGCTTTGGGGACAAGTGGAAGCCCCCCCCCATGAAGAATGGAGAGAAAGGGGGTCTTCCTGCATTTCCATGTATTGCTCAGACATAGTCATGCAAATAACCATTATTAGAAAGACGTTTTAGAAGAGGGTTTTATTGCAAGTAGGGTGATCGGAATCCTTCCTTTTCCCCTTCACTGCAGCAAACATCTATTTAAACATACGGAGTTTGAGCATACTATTTTATTTTACACAGAGTGAAAATGTCAAAAGTTACATGTGGATTCAGTAAAAGTACTGACTACTAGGGAATACAAACATGGTATATTGTGTGTACAAGAGAGAACTCGATGCAAACAAAGGATTTGGCACATAAGTTATTGCTTTTTATGTATTCCACACAGCAGCGATTATATACCAAAAATTGTACAATATGTGACTATATTTAATATTAAAACTTTCAATGAAACCATAAATGGCATTTCCAAGTAGATTGATGAAGAAAAGTTCTGGAAGGAAATATAACCTAGAACCATGTTTGCCTTACTACAAGTACAGGGGGAAAAAAGATATTTTGATTATTTTAAAGTGTGTTTCGGTAAAATTGATGAAACTTTTGACATTCCACTGGGAAATAACACATTCAGAAGAACAAAAAGGACAGCAGTTTTTAACTACAACCTGTAATTTGAAGAACAGCAGACAAGCCAACGCCAGAATCTGACGGAGGGTCTTCCTAGTGCGGGGCCCTGTTTTTCCAGCCATCTCCCATCCTAGGGGAAGATTCGCAGATTAAAATAAGCCGCTGTTCTATCCCTACAGTGCTTAGCGGTGGGGAAGCTGGTCAGATTGACGCGTGTCGTCCTAGCGGGCTGGTGCCCTCGGACGCTTATGCTGCAGGGGCTCTGGCAGCCTTCCCAAACTCTCTGGGAAGGAATCGACAATGACTGCAGAGAAGCATTCGAACATCATAAATTTCATAATTTAGGAGTCGGACAAGCGTAATAAGTGTGTACCTGGCCTTGTGCGTGCTTAGCTTATTACGTCCAGAAAGCAGCCTCTCCCTCCCTCCCTGCGTGCCTTTTCAGCCTGGATGCTGCCCTCATTGGAGGCACTTCCTTCCTCAGCTGACGCCAGAGTCCCCCCCGAGCTCAAGGGAGCCGATGTCTCTTCAGGGCAGGCCGACAAACGCTGCTGCCAGCAAAGGGCACTGTTGTACCAGCTTAAGGTTTGCGAAAGAGGCCGTTCTAATAAAATACGTCCTTTCTAGTTACACAGATTGCATTGTGGACTACATCTAAGGAGTTTCTATCTTGTTTATCCGCTAACCCTCAGAATAGTTTGTCCTTTATATTCTTGCCCTTTAGTTGAAACGCCTAATCTGTCATTAAAACCATATAGCTCTCGAATGTCTAATTTCTATTTCGTTTGCACAAGATTCTTTAATGTAGTGGAAACAGTGAAGTTCGTGCTACAACAGAAGCAATTAAGCCTGAAGGTAATGGATGTAGTGAGCAAAATCAGGCCAGTTTTATTTCCCGCGAATATTTGGATTTCGGAGCCGATTTAAAGGGAAGGGAAACACCAGGGCGGACGCAGCAGAGGAGGCTGCCTCACGCCGACAGGCCCTGCCTGAGTGACTCTGGCCAGATGTCTGAATTACAAGAATGTGCCTAAGTTCGATGCCACCGAAAGAGAAATCGGTGCTAGAGCTCTACGGGAAGGCTGATGTGCGCTGGACCCGCATTGGTGGCCCACTTTCTTTTTCGTTGCTCCCTTTCGCAAAGCAGTTGTCGGCAACCAAAGCAATTACACCATAAATTATGAGCAACCTCTAAGTGATCCTAACAATGAGACATTCCATGAAAATCACCTCCAGACCCCTTCTCCATCAGACTCATTCTCCTAAACAGATTTCTCAGCTGCCTCCGTCTCCTGCTCAGAAAGTTTCTCTTCCGAAAGCACCGTCATCCATGGAGAAACTGACCGGGTGATGGTCTGCTTGGCCAGGTTGTAGTGGTTGATCACCGTGTAGAACTTTCCTCGAGCGCTAGAGTCTTGTTCAGAATAGTAACTCTCCAATCCAGCCGGAATGCATTGATTGTTCTGAAAGACACCGATGACACACACACACACACACACACACCTGAACACCAGAGAGAAAGCAAGGCGGCTGTGTGTGTGTGTGTGTGTGTGTGTGTGTGATGAGAAAGACAAACGGAGTACACGCTTGGCGGCTTCTTGGGCCCAGCAGAGCTTTCCCCCCCCTCCCACCTGGGCTGGCGTCCCTGTTCCTTTGCCTCCCTTTCTCCCCCAGGCGCTTAGCCTTCGTTCCTCCAGGGCAGATGCTTCTGAAGGACCTCAGAGGCTTCCCTCTCTCTCTGCCTCCTGCTTCCCAGGTTCCCCCTTGCCAGAGGGATACTGCAGCCTTTTCTCGTCCTGTGGCTCTGGGCCCCTTAATACTTTCCAGAGACGGAGGGGTCTTTGATAATGCCCACCGCCTGTCTTTCTATTCCTCTGAGGATAAAACAGAAGTTTTCTCTCTTCTGAGGAAGCGGCTGGAAGGTCTGGCCCAGCTTAACGTGGGAATTTCGGGCGAACCGTCTCCATCCACGGGATCTAAGCTGGACATGGACCCAGAGGCTGGGAGTCAAAGGACGGTTTGCCTGAAGTGGTTACTCCCCAAGGAGCCACGTTTTGCAGAGTGCTCTGAACAACAGTGTTCAAACAAAAGGGAGAAGCCTCTGCTTGAGGGTTGTCAACTGCCGAAACGAGTTGTTACAGTAAAAAACAACATGGAGGGCACAGAACATATTGATCACAGGAACTAGGTGCAGGAGCCCTCCCTCGTGTAATCATGCCTGGCTCTTTTTTCCCATCTCCGCACCTCAACACACCCCAAATGCTCCCACTTCTGCCCTAGCTTTTTTGCCCTTCTTTCATGCTCTTCCTCCTGACTGGTCCCGCTGGAGACCCCGCTGGGGAAGCATCAGTGGGGCGGCCTCCCCTTGGTTTTCAGTCCCTCTTCCTTACCTTGAAGACGAAACCTTCTGGGCAGGCTTGGTCGTACTTATAGACCTTGTAGACCACCAGGAACCCAACGCAGGTAAGGAACGCCAGGGCAAACAGGATCAGGGCAGTCACCTGCAAACAGATTTACAATTTCTCCTGAGCACGCGTTGCTCCGAACCACTTCTGAACACAGACTGAAGGATTGTCATCGACATCTCAGCTGGAGCTTCACTGCCTGACCTGGCAGTTTGTGGGGAAGAAGAGAGTGCCCAGTTCCACCACCAGCACCTGCCTTCCCCATAGCGGGGGGGGGGCTGTGTTGCACTTCCGCTGCAGCTGAATCTGAAACCCTCCCCTAAAGAAAGGGAGCTGTGTTTGCTAACGGGGGCCTTGAGGGCTCTGCTCAGTAGCTCGCCACCCTCTGAGGCATCTCATGAATTGCCTATGCCTGCATTTCGACCTCTGTTCTATGGGTTCCTGTGAGCTGGAGGCCGGAGGGCCTGGTCCTTCAGGCAACCAGCCAGGCAACTGCGAGGAAGCTGAAGCAGACCGGGAGGGGGCGGGGGAACAGGAGCCAGGGAGGGCAGACTCCCATTGGGAGAAGCCAGATGCTGGAGGACAAGGCCATCAAGGTGATCCGCTGGACTTTGGGGGAAGCAAGGATGGTAGAGCCCCAGTGATGGCCAGGAGTTCCTCTCCATTGAAAACAGTTCTCCAGCAACAGGATGCCTTCCCGTGTCCTCACTCTAATCACAGTTCCAGCCTTTACAACCGGGACCGGGTCTGAATCCTGGATTGACACTGACCACTCCTTTCTCCACTGCCATCTTGCCCGTCTGCCCGGACCTAGAGCCCGTTGGGTCTCCAGCTGCTGGCCCTGCATTGCCCTTACAACCAGTAGATTGAGCTGGGTTCTTTGCAAACTGCCCAGAGTCGCTCTGGATAGTGATGGGCAGCATATAAATGTAATAAATACATTTACTGCTGTGTGATGGCTCCATCTAGCACTCTGCTGTTCCTGCATGTTACCAAGAAAGACCCTTGGCTGAACAATATAAAGCAATTGACAGTATAATGCTGGATGATGGGGGTTGAGTTGGGTTGAGTGGTACTCAAGATGTTTCTGAGCAAGAGAGGAGGATCTCCCAAAGCACTTATGAGTTTCAGTGAACTATTAAGAGGAGAATTACAGTGAAGACATCAACCTTCGGAACCGACAAGACACGCAAAGAAAGTCTTCCAGAAGTTCTCCACTTGGGAGGTTCCAACCTCAATTTGGTACACTGAAGAGACAGACAGAACTAATTTCAAGAAGATCAAAGATAGGAGTAAACTTAAATTGTCTACAGTAAAGATGTCTGTGTCAAGGTATCTTAAAAATATTTCCTGATTATAAAAAATCCTGGTACTAGAACACAAAGGTAGATTAACATTCTCATTATCAAGTTTGAAGGCTGGAGAAATCGCTGAAATATCTATGAGAATACGGCAAGCAACGTAAAATTTAAACTACAAAACCAGAATAAGCCAATCAATTAAAAAAGCATTTGTAAATGTTCTAACCAACTGCTGTTATAAATTGGGAGCATAACACAGTAGTGAGCCAACTGGAAAAAGTCAGTTCATCTACCCAGTCTTGGAGAAAACTCCTGAAAAGACCATGGACAGCTAAGAAGACAAACTGATAAACATCAAACAAATTGACCCAGAGTTTTCTCTCTCGTGGCACAAATGACCAGGCTCAAATGATCCTACTTCTGACACCTTCTGCAAAGACCCAGCTCTCTGGAGAAGGAGGAGGCTCTCCTGCTGGGAAAGATGGGAGTGCTGAAGAGCTGAGAGCCCCCCGGCCAACTCAACCGGAAGGCCCTGTGCTGGAGATGCCCTGGCAGAACCTGCCCGTCTAACGGCTTCCCCTGCTGGCCTTGGAAACCCAGCAACTCCGCACAGCTGTTGGGACACGGCAGTGTCATGTGTTCCCCTTTGCTGTTGAGTGACAGGCGTTGGAAGACTTTCCTAAAAGGCCACCCACGCGTGCTGACTGGTGCTTCTGGGTGACCAGGAGAGCTTGCAGGAGTTCCACGGGGAAAGCCTTCCATTTGCTCAAGAGCCCACCCTTTTCCCTCTTCCCCTCTGGCGCTGTGAACCGACACCACCGAGAGGTCCCGGCGGCCTCTCCAGGGCCTCTCCGGGGCCCTGTTGCGTAGCAGCAGAGCTCAACAACCCACACAGCCTGAAAATAATCCCGGAGCGATTCAAGCAAAGCAAATGGAAATTTGTTTGTCTTCTGGCTTCTAATCTACACAGGGCAAGTCTCCCAGTTACGCATTGCATGGTAAAGGGATATATGAAGTGAGGTTTTCTGCTTTTTGCAATAGAACCGAGAAGCCTCTATCTATAAATAATTGTCACACGAAAAGTATTTGACGTTTCAGCATTTATACAGCTCACTCTAATGCCAGTAAGAAGCAGTAAAATCAGTAAAACGAAGTTCATAACTGGACGCATGTTTGTTTACTCGTTCATTTCTTCATTTGAGCATTTGGCTAAATCCTATTTTGAATTTCCAAACTTTTAACAAGCCAACTCTTCCCCCGTCCTGCCTCAGCCCAGGATCCCCCGAGGCTTCCCCGAGGGAGCTGTCCTGGGGTGCCTCTGTGGATTTGCCTTTGGGCCCCCCCTCCCTCTCTACCTGGGAGCCACACTGGAGCTCTGGGTTGATTCCTTCAGCCACCTCCTCTTAACAAGTGTTCTTACCCTTGTGGTATGTAGCTATAGTCTTTAACTTAGCACTGCGTCCATTTAATATCCTTTACAGCAAATAAAGTCTATTTGGCATTGTCCTAATGATGAAAAAGCTAAAACATTATAAAATAAGTAAATAAATATGATGTATTGCTATACTTATGTTTATCTCTCACAAATTCATCTATGGTAGTTGCTCTAATTCTTCATCACTGATGCATAGTTTGTATTCCCTGCCAAGTACAAGGCCTCCTCGGATTAATTTTCAGATCCACATATTTTTTATTTTACTTCCACCATATAAAGCTCTTACACTACAGCATTAAGCAACCAAACTTTAATTCCATGTTTATATACTTTGCATTTTCTCTAAACTAACAAACATAATAGAAAGTTTTTTCTTACAACCGTATATTTCTCAATGAGCTGCTAAACAGAACCATCTTCTCCTTCCCTGATATAAAACCGCCGGGGACTCCTGCTCCCTGCTCCCTCTAACGCTCGCTCGCTCTTCCTTCCGGTTGGAATCCAGCCGGGCGCCTTACAGGCAGAACTAGCCGTCTCTCTGCGGCCTCTGCATTCTCCCTGGCTGCCTCCCGCCTTCCCCCTTTCGTAGCAGAAGGGCAGCCTTCTTCCAATTGTCAGGCACAGATGCCGTCTTCCTGTGGGTTGAGCCAGTGGCATAGCCATGGGGTCCCTGGTGCTCCCTCCAAGCTTGGTGGTGGTTCTCTTGCAGACGTTTCACGACCCAACTAGGGAACATCCTCAGAGCCAAATCCACTAACTTCTAGCAACCTCTGGGTCATGAAACATCTGCAAGAAAACAGCCAAGGGTCCCGCAGTTCAACCCTGAGCTACAAGCACTCCCTTCTATTGCCACAGCTGTTCTATACGCTATCAGCCTTCCCAGGTAGGCCAGGCAGGAAGTCAACCAGGTGAGCTAATTCTACTTTATGGGAAGGCTTCCTTAACAGAACCTTGCAAATCTGAAAGTACAAGTCTCCTGTTATTTCCTTGCAGCCCGAGAAGCCGGAGAGGGGTCCTTCTGAGTCCCTTTCCCTCCCTGTGATGCAGCTGCGGGCTGGGCCCTCTCTTTTCTGACCAGTCCCTCGGCAATATTTCTTCACTCCATCTCCCAAGGTGTTTCTCACATACCGTTACATAAATAAGCCACATCTATATTTTAACTTGTCTCCTAGTTATTCCTGGTTTTAGTCTGTGCCACAACTTTCCGTATGCGATGGTCATCATCAGTCTCCGTCCCACAGGGGGTGCATGCAACATTCCTTGTCTTGGTCAGCTTTGATCACAAGTGAAACCCAAGGCCAGTTTTACCCCAAACATTGCCACCCTCCTCTGTTCAAGGTTAGATCACTGATGTAATGTCATCTTAAATTTATGATGCTCAACCCTAAACTTTTAGGGCTGTCAGTCTGTGTGTGTGTGTGTGTGTGTAGACTACATTAAACTTCAGCCCCTTAAGGCCTAAAGGATTCTGCAAGGAAGTACTCCATACCTTTACCTTAATTAATCCTTCAGTTTTCCTGTGGCAATTATTTAATTTAATACCTGCTAGTATTTTGAAGTGAAATAAATGTAACATTCATTTTTTCATCCTTGAAAATGAGCAGACGTGGCTTACCTTAAAACGTTCTGAGATGCCTTGAGTGATGCTGACTGTGAATTCTGCAATTCTGGGAGAACGAAATTTCCCTTTCTTTCGATCAGGCTCATACTCCGTTTTTGTCTTCACCACCACCTTTTCAGTGAACACCAACAAAAGAGCCGTCACCAGCACAGCCGCCCCACCAGAGTTGCTCTTAACGCCTGCATCCGCCTGCTCTTTGGCCTGCCGTTTGGATACGTGAGCCACAGAATAAAGAAGTAGGAAGTGACAATCCTCTTCTATGCTGTGGCCAAGAAGACAGGTGTGTCCCACAGAGCGTGCAAAGGACTCCCCTATTCGTTTTATTTTGTCCTTTCAGGCACACAAAATATGCACATCCTGATTTGAATAATTCCCTGTGATTTTCTCCCAGAATCTGCCAGGAAATGCTTTTCCAAAGGCTTTGCTGAAAGAAGGGCATTTTAAGGACAGTGGGTTCAACCAACTTACTTTCTAACCACCTCTGGATTTGTAATTATATTATAAATTATTATATGATCTTTAAACAAATGGTTGCAAAGTGAGGACTACCTGAAGTCTTAATTAAAAAGGAAGTAGCAATTTCCTGTACCCTCCTGGGCAACTAGGCACCACCTAAACTGGCCTTGGCTGATCCTGGTCTCTCCTCCACCAATTTTCAAGCCTGGGTTCCAAAACTCTTTTATCAGTTGTAAATGGCCTTTAGAGCAGTAAAACACATACCCCTTGGTCACTTACATCTAGTAAAACACACACCCTTTTGTTAGGAAAGGCTGAACGAAAGTGGGATAGAGAATAACAGCAGCATTAACTGAATAAATGACTCTAGATATGACAGGTCGAAGCCTCTTAGTGACAAGTTGCAGTCTTCTGAGCAGTGAAATGGGCAAAAGAAAGAACAACATGAGGCCAATCAGAATCCAATCTTAATAGAGCTGGAAGGGAGGTCTTCTAGTCCAACCCCCTGCTCAAGCAGGAGATCCTATAACCCTTCCAGAGAGGTGGCTGTCCAGTCTTTTCTTAAAAACCTCCAGTGATGAAGCCCCTACCTACAACATCTGGAGGCAAGATGTTCCACTGGTTAATTGTTCACACTGTTAGGAAGTTTCTTCTTAATTCCAGATTGCTTATCTCCTTGATTAGTTTCCATCCATTATTTCTTCTCTTGGCTTCTGGTGCTTTGTGGCAGCCCCTCAAATCCTGGGATAGTGCTATCATGTCACCCCTAGTCCTTCTTCTTTTTTTTAGACTGCCCATTCCCAAATCCTGCAACCGTTCTTCATGTGTTTTAGTCTCCAGGCCTTTAATCATCCTAGTTGTTCTTCTTTGCACTTTTTCCCAAAGTCTCAACATCTTTTTTTGTAACACGGTGACCAAAACTGGATGCAATATTCCAGATGTGGCCTTACTAAGGCTTTATAAAGCGGCACTAATATTTCATGTGATTTTGATTCTATGATTCCATTTATTCAACCAAAGATTATATTAGCTTTTTTGGCTGCTGCTGCACACGGCTGGCTCATGTCTAAGTAATCATCCATTAGGATTCCAAGGACCCTCTCACAATTTTTGAGCTAGGTTTCATCTAACCTGTACTTGTACTTTGGTTTATCCTGCCCAGGTGTAAAACCTTGCTTTTTCTCCACATTAAATTTCATTTTGTTGGATAGGACCCATTGTTCAAGTCTGTCAAGATCTTTCTGGATCCTGAGCTATTCTTGTGGAGTGTTGGCTATTCCTGCCAGCTTAGTGTATCTGCAAATTTGATGACACTAAGCTAGCAAGAATAGCCAACATCCCAGAAGATAAAAACATTTTTTTTATTTAATTTAAATTCTGTTCACATAATGTCAGTGGAAAGAGGGCAAATGGAAAACAGCAAGTGAGCAAGAAGTATCTTGCAACTGTAGGGAAGGTGCCAGGAAANGGGGAGCGCTAAGACAACAATAACGGGGGGGGGGGCTTCTTTAGACATGCTTAATAAAATGGGAAGAGAAAAGAATCAGTTAATGAAGCTGCTCAATGAAGATGATAAATGCTTTTAGTTCAGTCTTCTCTAACATGGGATGAAAGTTTTACAAGATAAATGCAAGATATAGAATGAATCTTGAGATTGACAGAAATTAGTTAGGAATTACCTATTTACAGTGATCAGCTTTAAATCTCCAGAGTCTATTAAATTGCATCTTAGAATACTGAAGGAGCTAGCTAAAAATCTTACCAAACATTTGTATCTTATTAAGAAACATTGGAGAACCAATTAAATGCTAGGTAATTAGAGGAAATAAACATCCTTATCTTTAAAATTAGAAAATAGTAGGTTGCAAGGAATCAGTCAATCTGATACTAATAGGAAGAGTTTAGAACAAATCATAAACTGACTGTTAGCAATCGAAAAACAATGCTTAAGAGACATGTGATGTTTCTTGTTTTGCTTGGGTAACTTTCCTAGTAGATTGTAGGAATACACATAATAATATATCTTAATTTCAGCAGATCCTTTGCCATTCTGATCAGGCTGCTAAATGTGGTCCGATGGCATATGCAGCTGACTTGGAAATTGCCCTCAAAGTTCTCACCGATTATTCCTTCCAGATTGGACTGAGGAGCGCAGGATAACAGTCCTGGACTGAATATTTTAATGAATGACTTGAAGGGAGATGCTTCCTAAATCTGCAGACGAACTTCTCAGCACTAAGTTCAGCAGCAGAACTAGAATCTTCCCAAACTGAAAGAACCGCAGGAGAAAGAGTTGGACTCTGGGTCCTGAATGCCTCTCGGAGCACCACAATACCTCTTAGGACCTTAGGATCCTAAGAAATGAAGAACTGAAATGGGATTATCATATAGATACCCGATATTCCTGATACACGGGTGTCAATTTAATTATTTAGTAGTTTATCATCCGAAAGGGAAGACAGCAGTTACGTGAAAGTCTTTACAAGTTATTTAAACTCATTTAAGTTTATAGGAGACAAAGGGTATGTATCCAGATTTTTTTTTGTAACTTCTACTATTCCTATGGTACTGTTTATCTGATGAAGAAATGGGGACTGAGAGTCTTTATCTGCAACAGAAACCTCCAGGGACCGACAGTACTAGCGGAGTAGTAAGCCACCGATGGGCAGAGGCCACACCCAGCAGAGAGGAACAAAAGCTTCTCCGCCAGGCACGAACAAAGAGCCGCCGCCGCCGCCGCCTTCCCTTCCACAGCAGCCGTTCTCCGCGATTTATATTATCCGCTTCAGCCCCCAAATGTCCTTCCTCTTTGCAGATACCCTTTGCAAGCGGATTAAAATCGCCCACCGCCAATTCTGAATCCCTCCCCCCCCTCCAGTAGTATTGATTTTAAATGTATCGATGTTATTCTTTTGACGTGGTCGCCCGGCAATTTACATGGAAATAACAGTAAAATAACTAAAAATACAAATGTAAAAATATTCAACCATGTAGTAAAAAAGGAGCTGATTTTTTT